TTGGCCCCCCCCAGGCCCAAACCGGGTGGCCAGTTGAAGAAGACGGTCCTGGATGCTTACAACCAGAAGAAGGGCGAGCTCCGTCACGCCAACGGGGACGTGAAACGCCGGAAGGCCATTCTGGGGAAGAGCCTCCCCCAAGTGTTGGCCAAGGGGCCGGCGCCGTCCCTGCGCGGCTCCTTGCACAGCCCACGAGTGGCCCGGGGGGCAAAGGCGGCCGGCTCGGGCAGCTACCGCACCGCCGAGTCCCAGAACAACCTGCTCAGCCAACTCTTTGGGCAAAAATTAACTAGCTTTAAAATTCCTTTAAGGAGAGATACTTCAGAGTAATTTATGGAAGTGACTTATGGTGATCCTCAGCTGCTTTCATGGGGTTTGCAAGGGAAAAAATTATCAAAGCATTAAATTCGTTTGTGTAGCATGATTTCTCTGTCTAGCTTAAATGAACTTGCACTGCAGCCTCTGTGAAATAGTTTGCTTTGTGTCTACTAATCTACTTTAATTCACCTGATTTATCATGCAAATGCTAGAACTTTGATGTTGCTGATGATTTTCATGAACTGAAATTGTAATCGCTTTGGGCAGACTGAATCGTCGAGAGCAATTGCTTTATTGCAGAAGTGCTGAGGTTATAAGGATACTTGCAAATCTCAGACCCTTTTGAGTCTGTGTCTGTGTTATCTTTGTACAAAGTACTTGAAGAGATGAACTTCATTCCGTAGACGTCTTATTCATAAGGTGCAGTACACTGTAGAAAGCAAATTTTTTATTTTTTTTTGAGGAATTTGCACAAATAATCCCGTACAATTCATTTAATTGGGAGCTGGCCTAAGAGATGATGATACAATTAGGGGGAAGAAAAAAAAAAAATTAAATTAAGAATCGAGTGTGCTATATTTTGACAGCCATCCCTATTGAATTTGTTTCTACGTCGTCAAGAGAATAACGACCCAGCTCGGGGGCTTCCGGAGCCCTTCGGAGGATGCTGCCACTCTTTGACCACTGTAGATGATGGAACCGGAGGAGAGCCGCTACCGCGAGCAAACTGCACCTTGACACTTGTGACAAACTCTGATTTTTTAGGGTTGTTGTTGTTTGGTTTTTTTTTCCCTTGTCGTCGGTGGTGTTGGGATGCGTGTGTGTATGTGTGTGCGTGCGTGCGTGCGTGTTTTCTTTTTGTTTGCAGGGGGTTTTGGGGGTTGGGTTGATTTATTTTTTTTTTGCGCAACGACAAAACTGTGCCAATTTACCGCGCCGAACCGGTACTGTCCGAGTGCCCTCAACGGTATCACTTCTAAAATATCTTACTGTATCGAGTTAGTGGCTATATAGGTATCCGCTTTTTACTATGCAGTTACTGGTGCTATTCTTCTTTTGTAATGTGAATACAGACTTCCTTGATCGAAAAACTAAAAGGGAACCGTTAGGAAGTAGCCGTGAAAGAAAACGAAGCAGGAAAAAAAAAAATCTTAAAAGAAATATCCAACTTTAGGGAAAAAAAATAATTAAAATCCTGTATGCTGGTACTCCGTAGTGTCGAAAAGGTTACGTCACGTTAAACGAGCACGTTATACAACCGAACTTTTGAATCCGGAAAGAAATCTCAGGTGCAAACGTGGACATGGAAGATAATTAAAAAATGCTATTGAAATACTCCCAAGTCAAGGAGGTGAAGTAATGCACTGATGTGATATGAACAGTCAGAGTACTTTGCGTCTGTCCTGCAATTATTATTTTTTGTTTTGTTTTAGATTTAAAAGGAAAAAAAAAGAGGCTTTATTCTGTTAATATGTATCTTTACAATTCTTTGTATTGTATAAAAATATTGTAGGTAATTTACCTTGGGTGCAATGTGTTCTGTCAAAAGTTTTTATTTTGATATTTTGTCAGAGAAGCAGAGAGAGAGCAGGAAAAGCCGTTTTATGATGTTCTATGTGTGCTTTTAAAGTGCCTCTTTAATATTGTTAAATAAAGTATGAGATGAAAATATGGGGTGGTACTGTAAAATCATACATGATTAATCTTTTCAAATATATTCCAATATTTTCACAGAAATTCCCTGTCTCTGTGATGTCTGTGGGATGTTCCTCCCTGCTCGTGACCCTGTTCGTGTCCCCTCGTCCCGCGCACGTCTCAAACCAAATGATGACGTTTCTAATTGACGGTTGGATGCTCTGCAGGTCTTCGTGGTGTCCTCTGTAAAGTGGCTGCGGGAGGACCTCAGCGCTGCTGCCATCACCTTGTAGTCATTTACAAAGCAGTGGAGCTTCTCAACGGTGAAGTTGCTCGTGCATCTCCTCTTCCCCTCCGCATCTTCCCCAGGCCCTACTCACAGCCTGAATGTCTTGTGCCAGCATGGGGGGGAAAAACCAACACTGCGGTGATGGTGATGGCCCAGTTTGATCATCACCAACTGGTGATGGTGATGGCCCAGTCTGGTCATCGTCAGTTGGTGATGGTGTTGACCCAGTTTGTTCATCACCAGCTGGTGGTGATGGTGATGGCTCAGTCTGGTCAACATCAGTTGGTGATGGTGATTGCCCAGTTTGGTCATCACCAACTGGTGGTGGTGATGGCCTAGTTAGGCCATCATCAATTGATGACAGTTGTGGTCCAGTTTGAGCATCATCAGTTTGTGATGGCGATGGCGACAGCCCAGTTTGGTCATCAGCAGTTTATTATGGTGATGGCAATGGTGATGGTGATTGGCCCAGTTTGGTCATAACCAAATTGTGATGGTGATGACGACGGTGATGGCAATGGTGACAGCCCGGTTTGGCCATCACCCATTTGTGATGGTGATGGCGGTGATGGTGGTGATGGCCCAGGTTGGTCATCACCAGTTTGTGACGGCGATGGTGATGGCCATGGAGATGGAGATGGAGATGGATGGAGATGGAGATGATGGAGATGGAGATGGAGGTGGAGGTGGAGATGGAGGTGGAGGTGGAGATGATGGAGATGGAGATGATGGAGATGGAGATGATGGAGATGGAGATGGTGATGGTGAAGGAGATAGATGGAGATGATGGAGATGGAGATGGAGATAGATGGAGATGGAGATGGAGATGGAGATGATGGAGATGGAGATGGAGATGGAGATGGAGATGGAGATGGAGATGGAGATGGAGATGGAGATGGAGATGGAGATGGAGATGGAGATGGTGACGGCCCAGTTTGGTCATCACCAATTTGTCCTCAAGCTGACCTCTGCCGGCACAGCGCTGAGGTCTGAAGGTAGGAGGCTGACACAAAGCCAGGCATATTATATTCTTTAATTACTGTTGCAATCATAACATTTAAACGCTGTCAATGAGAGATAGCTCCTAACCGCGGGCTAGAATCCTTGCCACTTGGGGCTTGTAACTAAAACTGCAGGATTAATTTGATTAATTGATAGAATTATTTTCCAAACTACTCTTTTGTTTATGGAGGCTTAAAATGCTTGCCGCCTGCACCCTCCTGGTGTGTTGCAGAGTGGAGATAAAGTGGCTGAAAATAATTAGTATGGCTTAATTTAGGGGGGAAAAAAAAAATTACCTCAACAGAATTTTGCAGAAAATTTAAGGCAGCACATTTTACTTCATTTTGGCAGGAAATATTATGGAGCTGGAAATGGGAATTTTATGTTTTCCCTCCGCTATATTTCACCAGGGCAGCAAACCTACGAGTGTTTCATGCCGGGTTGTTAATGTAGCTCTCTTGCACCTCTCGATTCATACCCTGGGCTCCTGGAGAGGAATCCTCCTGGGAGCAGGGGCTGCGACCCATCCCTAGGAGCCCTGGGCAGGGTGCAGGGATGCCATCCAAAAACAGCACCCACAAGCGATGCCGCTCACCTTGGGTGCCGCTCCCTCCTGGATGCTGCTCCTGGGGGCACGCTAGCATCATCCCCATAGTCCAGAATATTTAATTCTCCCTTTTCCCTTCTAAAAGAGAGTGGTGGTTGGTTGGTTTTTTTTTTCCCCATCATCTCCCCCCTGTTCTGATCCCTCCCGCAGGCTTGGCACATGCTGAACGGGCAACCCCCTCCCCGTGCATCAGCTCCCTAAAGCCCCCAGCTCTGCCACGTCCCGTGTCCACCGGCAGCTCTCGTCACTTGAAAGATTGCGGGTCCCTGTCAACGTAGTTCCAGCAAGGAAGGAAAAGCCGGGTGGCTTCTTCTGGGTGAGGAGGAACTCTCTGCTCGGTGGGTGCCAGCGAGACACAAAGGGGGCACCCAAAGGACCCGGCACATCCCAAGGTCCCAGGGCTGCACCCCACTGGGCTGCACTGCAGCCAGCCCTGGGGAGGGGAGTGCAGAATGGCTGGGGCTAAGCAGAGGGTGCCTGGCCTTGCACAGAGCCCCGGAGGGGTTTCTCAGCTTCTTGGCCACCACCCTAAATTTTTTCTCAGACTGCTGTTTGCTCTACAACCCATTCCCACCCCCCACCAAATCCAGCCATCCTTTCTTCTCAGCCATGCACCCAAGTTCCCGAGCCGGAGGTGCTTTAAGCCTCTCCATAAAACCCGAAGGATAACGGGATCCACCATGGTTGTCACGCTGCTAGCAGAGGCTAAAGATTTATTTTAATTTTTTTTCTTGCTCTTGAGTC